GTGGGTTTTTGCAGGCACACCTATTTACGCGTGGGAAGTGATTGTGTGCACTCAATGTGCTGAAAGTCAGGCTTGGGGAGCAGTGCTTTAAAAATCCAGGCAAAGATGGTTTAAAACACCTTTCCTTCTGAGATCGGGCTCTATACTGTTGGAGGGTAAAGCAGCAACAAAACCCAGTGCTGGATATCTACTGCCACTGCTTCCTTGTCTACGGAGATATCAGTGACTTTTAAAGCCAGGGAAATCTTGAGAAGTTGAACCCACTTCTGGCATAAGCGTTCTTTTTTAAAAAAAAAAAATTGTCTTTGGTTCTCTTAAAGCAGTGTGATTTTTATGAATTAATTAATAAGCAATAAAAGGTGTGAACTTGAGAGAGCTCAGAGATGGCCACATGACCTGCAGAGGGCAAGGATACAATCCAGGAGCGTGGTCCAGGACAAAAGTAGAAAATTATATCACCAAATAGGAGGCAAGCTGGTAACCCCTGCTCCCCATCTCCAGTGTGACCTTGGGCAAAAGTCACTTTATCTTCCCTGTCTATAAAAACAGGGTCTTATCTCAGCTCGTGAGAGGTTAGCCATCATATTTACAGTCGTCTGGTGGTGCTTCCTGCTTAGAAAATGTTTATAAGCCTTTTAGACCTTAAAACCCTCCACATTTCTACCTGGTTTGTCCTGGCACAGGGCCAGGTGGCTGCAAATGTCTGTAGGTTCAAGAACTAAAGCAGGAGCAATTTTTCCATGGAGCACAGCTGCTCTCTGCTGTTTTCCTATTTAATGCCCAGGTTTCCCCAGCAAAGCCCACTGCGTGGCCGGCTGAGAGATGGGTAAACAGAAACTTTGTTTGCCAGAGAGCAGGTCTGATGACTACCCCTTGGGAAGTTTAGACAGGAGGTGTGGGGAAGGGGAGAGAGAATTTTTTAAGGTCTGAAACCTGTTGAGATAAAGAGTCCAAACAGAGGCCAGCCGGGCTGCTTGTCTGCAAATATTTGAAGAGCGTGAATGCAAAAGAGGAAACGAAATTACTTGGTCGGTTCCAGGTGGGCGCAGGTTGAGAAGGCTGGGCTGAGGGAATTACTACACTGGTTATCTGAGTTAAAACTGAGTAAAGGAGAAGGATGGCCAGAATTTGGGCTCTGTTACATTTCAGTACTTCCAGGTGTGTCTGCGTACTTGATCAGAATAGAGTGTAATAATAAGGGGTTGAGGGGAGGGGTTTTTCTTTCCAGGATGGATTTCTATTTTTTTTTCCTGACAAATAGACCCATTCAGAGGCACCCACTTTCTCTGCTCGTGAGGCAGAATCCTGGTTTCTTTCCCTCCTTGCACCAGCCTCTTATGCTGAAATTTCCCCTGTTCCTGCAGCCCAGAGGCACGCTCCCATTTTGCTGTCAGCTGCAAGCTTTGGCAGCGTTGTTCATGAAAAATCATGGTGCTCTGGCATTTGGGAAATGCCATTTTGATCAGGAATCTTTTGTTTCCCATGTACTTTTTTTGATGTACACTTGATATGTTGTGTGATATGGACACGAGTGTGCCCTTGTGCCTCATCAGCGTGTTAAGGTGCAATCCAGAAGAAATACAATTAGATTTTAATCTTCATAAATTCCACTAAAACGTGCCATAAGCTTTTTGCTGTCCTGTATCTCCCGTTTGGGAAGAGGCTGAGGACAACCATTTTCTCTGCTGGAGGCTTGGACCATGTAACCACCCAGCGTGTCCACCACAAACCTCTGCTCCTGGCGACCTGTAGCACAGCAACTCAAATCCCTTCCCAAGCTTGATTAGTGGCAGAATGATTGATTTTGTGTAGAAAGTGATACACAAGCACCATCTAGAGGATATAAAGAGGAAAAGATTATGATTATAGTTGACTACGGCAACTGCCGGCAGTTATATGATGGGGGGTAAAGTTTCAGGTTCTCCATAACTCTCAAAAACTGCTGCTGAAGTGGCAATAACTCCCAGGGAAACAGCAACCAGAAGAAGAAATATTACAGTTATTCTGATTTTTGTTTCTTCTGGGATTTGTGTATTTTTGGCTGGCTCTTCCTGTTTTCCTTACCTTCTTTCCCTTTCTTGTTGATAGCAAGGGGGTGAGAGAAATGGGGAAGAAAAGAATAAACCAGGAAAATGCATCATCTTGGTTTCGAAGAAGAATCTGCAAATTCCATGGAATCAAAACTGTTCCGTATGTGTGGAAATCTTCAGGAGAAAATTACTGCCAACTGCCTAAAGTTCTAGATACATTTTTGCTGTCATGCATTAGAGGGAAATGAAATGGCTCTCCTGTACTGCAGCACTTTGCTAATGAGAATTAAAGCTGCTTAGCCGTATTGTAGACCCCACAGCGTGAAAAGGGATTAGCTTGATTTAGAGAGCTTGCCTTCTCCTACTCTAGATGTATGGGCTGCTGCCCAGCCTGTCACTGTGAAAATGAAGTGACTATTAATAGGCAGAGTAGTGTGCGCTGGGAAAGGTCATAAATGTTTGTCTGTAAGATTATTATTTTGGAGGATGCAATATTTCACTAAATGTTTGGGGTGGGGGAGTGTTGCTACAAGCTGCAGCCTAGTGGCTTTCCTATAGGGAAATGCAACTGAAATTAGCAGTGACCCTGTTCATTTGTTTTAGAAAAGATGGAAAATTGTTGGTGCCTGAGGAGGACAAATATGATGTGCTGCAGCAGTAATGCCTGCACCCCAGGCATGGAGCTCCATGGCACAACCATGCTGATCCAGGGAAGGCCTTTCAGCACGGTAAGGAGCCGGGAAGGGCGGCTGTGTTTTGCAGAGTGACTCGGGTCTTTCTGCCATCTCTCACCATGTTGGCCCGGGCTGCAGCCAGTCTTGCACTGGTGAGGAAAGCTCAGTCCCTCTCCAGATCCCAGCTCCAGAGGGGAAAGCAATTCCCTTCCTTGTGAAACATTACCACTGCTGCTGCAAGCCTCCTCCTCCAGGAAGCCACGCTCATCCTGGAGAGGAGAAAGCATATCCTGAGGTGGAGAGCAGGAGACCAGTGGGTGCATGGCCCCATTTCCCCCTTCCTGGGTGCTTGGCCAGTTGCTCCCCATTCTTCCCCCAAAATCTGTGTATAGGGGAGGGCAGACAACGGAGGTGGGATGCTGCGAGGCAGAGCAGCACTGAGCTGCTCACAACTGCTGAGTGTGGGTATAGGGAAGGAGAAACTCATCCTACCAGGGGCTCCAGGGCGAGGCACCTGGATGCTCCTTATCAGCAACCAGCATGAGCTGCTGCAGCAACAGCCAAAACCACTTTACTTGCAACATGTGAGGCTTAGTGACTTTTTTAAGAGCTGCAAATGCACAGGGAGCTTAACAAAAAGGCAAATTTCTTTCCAAAGCTGCCTAGTTTTAGGGGGACACTAGTGGGCAGTTATTCTTGGGGCTGCTATTTTACCTAGGAGCATTACGCTGGTCTCATAGTCAAGTGGAAATCACCCCTTTCTTTAAAGAAAACAGGCATATTGCGTGAGTATGTATATCAAGGGACTGGCTCGTGTAGTGCTCAGAAGAGCTTCCCTCCCTCCAACAGTGGACTCACATCCACTTCTGCTGAGGGTCTGGAGGCGGCTGGCTTGTCGATTTACCTGGCTGCAGAGGACTTTGTAGGTAGGCTGTTCAGATGGCTGCTGGTAGGGCTGGCTTCCCAGGTAATAAGTGAAACACTGTATTATACCAACATATCCTTGTCTATCATCAAACCACCTGGGACAGTACAACCCCAATAGTTTGTGTTGCCCCGGGTACCTCTCCCACCGCCTACTTGAATCCTTGCTAGCTCAATTTCCTTCTGGCTTTGCTCCCTTCTGTCCCTCTCCCTTTCTATTTGGCCCTGTGTTGATCCCCATTCCACCACAGAGACTCTAAGGAAACCCTGGTAACTCTGACATGTCAGCATGGCCATGGAACATGCTTGTACACACTCGACCTTCTTGATCGTTGTCCAAGGGGAGGCTATTGGCATGCTGCCAGCAGGCCTTGGAATGGTCTGTGAAGATCATCTATGGGGTGCAGGGGAGATGATTAAGAAAAGCAAAGTGATTATATGACAAACTTCAACCCAGTTTAAACTTCTGCATCATCTACGGGGAAGTGGCCAGAGGGGTTCACAAACCAAAACCAGTTTTGTGGGCCAGTGAAAACCACTGCTTTAAGCTGACACTGTTTTCCTTTTACCATGACTCTTGAAAAATCAGAGAAGTCTGATCTGTGGCAGCTGTGCAGATCTGAACCACTGTGTGGAGCCAAATGCCTTTTGAGCAGCTCTACAGCTCCTGGATCTGACACATTAGGATGTGACTCGGTGTGCTGTTAGTTAAACTCTGAGGTGGTGAGGTGCTGCTGTCTCTTAGTCTCCTGTTTCAGCAGATGGCCGCCTTGCCTGCGAGATAATTCAGCAGTGCTTAATGAATCGAAACTGTTGAGCAAAACCATCCTCTGGTGTCATACTGTGTCCGGCTAGAGCTGCGGCACAGCCATGCTGGAGACCTTGGCTAATGGTGTCCCGGTAATTGAGTGCACGCAGCGTGTACCGGCTCTGTTCAGAGAGCACCTACAGCACGTAACATTCTTTGATCTGCTTCCAGTTCTCCGCGTGTGACTGATTTCCTGTGTGCCTCAATATTCAGCCTGAAGAAGAATACTGCTCTTCTCTTCATGAAGAGAGCCCCTCTGACCTGCAAGGAAGACCTGACACCTTTAAAGCAGAGCAAAGTCGGGCTGTGCCTGGCCAGGTTTGGACAACCTCGCAGGCACCATCAGGACATGATCTACATGGATGTTGCTTGCTGGTGTGACTCATACCACTCCAGTATCTAACTTCAAAAAGATTTTTGGGGGCCTCCTCTGCTATACTGTGAATTGAATGGGCAATGCTTACCTTGTTTTCCTATTCAATAGCAATGGTTCCCTGTGTAACTGTAAGGAGGGCCTGTGCTGAGTATAAGCGGAGGAATCATAAGGGATTGAAGTCCAAAGCCATGAAGCAAATGGACAGCGTCTCCAGGGACAATGAGGCACCATTTATCAGCAATGAAGAAAAAGTTCTGATTTATAATTTTCCAGGAGACTTCCCACCACGTCTCAGCAAATGGTACAGCCGGGTATTTTACAGTTTCTTAGACATTTTGCAATGAATAATGTTCATTCTGGTCGGATAGGGTGGCTCCAAACAACCGTTTAGTGCTTCCAGGGCTTGGGATATGACACACAAAAGGCGGTGCCTCTCCTTCCGAGGCAGCTGAGCAGCCAGCATGGGCGGTGGGTGCAGCACTAAGGGCTATCGGCCTCTGCGCCGCCCCCCCGGGGAATGCTGCCTGGCACCCAGCACATCCTGAGTCAGACCTAAAATATGAAACAAATGGTTTGAATTCTGCCTTGGAGGGTTGCCATACGACGCGGGTGCCAGCAGCAGCATTTCAGCTGTTCTTGGCAGCAGCATGCAGCCGAAACGGAGGCGCTCCTTTTCCCCCACCACATGGCAGACGTGTGCATTTGGGGGGAACTCGCTGCGTGCGGTTTGGGCTAAATGGGGGGGTTGGATGGATTTGTGCCAGTGGTGACAGTAGTACATGCTTTGGTTACCACCAGCAAATCCAGCTGTAAATGATTTCCGCTGTGTGCAGCAGAGTTGTCACAGGGTGACAGTACAGGGCACGTATGTACCGTAGTAGGTTTTGAGCCATACTATCCCTTTCCTTTGACTTTTTTCTAAGCTTCTAGATTTGGATGTGGATAATTCTGGGGTTTCCCCAGGAAACGATTGGGTTTTCTTTAAATGCTGAATGCACGTGGCAGTAGGCGAGCCGCGGCTGGCTCGGGTGCGGAGCCGGTGAGGTGCTGGCCGCGATGGAGATGCAATTCCTTTCGGGTGCACGGGGAACCGGGGGGGGTGTGGGGGTGTGTGCGGGGGGAGTTTCTTCATCCGTGGCT